GGGGAGTTGGGCGAGGGGGCGAGCCCAATTAACCACCCTGGACTATTTCTCGTGATCTTCATCTTCATCATCATCATCATCATCATCATCATCAGTCCTCATCGCGCCATCGGACGCATAAGGTCTGATCTTCACGTGGCTAATAACAGTGAGTGCGAATTTACAGAGTTTTTCATTCTTATGACACTACACTTACTGTCTTTACTTGGTACTGTCAACAACTATAATTAACTGCAGTTTCAGCGCCCTGTATATATATCGCTACTAATCTCTCTCATTTGATATTCAAGTATTAGAATTTTAACAGTATTTGAAAAGACCTTCCACCCTAAAGGAGTTAAATTTAGAATTATTGTCTTCAAAACACCTCTTCATTTGTGTAAAAGACATTATTAACATCTTGGTTACGAGATTGAAATCACGCGAGAAGTCTCTGTCAGCTATAGTGACACTGTAGTTTTACTATCGTAATTAAACCTATTTCCATATTCCCAGAAGCTAACGTCCATGCTTCTTGTGAAGCAGTCGGATTTATTTCCCACGTGAACCATGCAATGTTCCTTTAACAACGTCTCTATGTGAATGCCAAGCAGGCCTGCGGTCAGAATACCAGCGGTTTCTAGTATGGACGCAAGCGTGACGATGAATATTATGTGCTGGGAGAAGAACCTTCTTGAAATGGTGTGGTACGAATTAGAGAATATCATCCCACAGGCCGTGCCCTGGATAAAACACAACAACCAAACGATCCATACAGCTGGAACAAGACGAAACCAAGTGGCAAGGACCAGGAAAATAGTTTCAGCCAGAGGGAAAAAAGCAAGGATAGGAGCAGCAGTGAAGAAGAATCCGGGAGCAATGGCGCGGAGCATGGAGATGAAACTTCGACCAAGGAACTCGCCGACCATGGTGCTGAGAACGTAATGCTCAAAATGTCCCCGAGGAGCAAATTCAGGGCCCACGCCAGCGTCCTCGAATACCAACGTGGTCAGAATGGCCGAAAGAATTATATACTCGCCGAAGTACACCATAAACAAAATCAGCATGTGATGGAAGGAATTCCACATACCTGCAAGTCTTTCTTTCCAGCGAGGAGTTAAACGACAGTCCATTTCAAACTTGCGCCGCTCAAGCTTAGAAAAGTACCTCTTGCCCTGTGGGCGGCGGAAAAGGTGAAGATTACCTCGAGAAATGGAGAATACCAGAAGCAATATTGGCGGCCATATCGCCGACACAAGTACTGCTGTCCGTGGATCCACAATAGCCCAGACTGTTAATCCTGTAAAAGTAAAACATTCGTGAAAATTTAAAAAAGATTTGTATGTAAAAAACAGAGTAGTTAAAAAGCGAACCTTAATGACCATGTGGACGCAGTGCGGACCTATTTATATTCAACGCTTGGGAGAATTTTCCGCGATGAAAAAGGAAATTCTGCGGTGAAAATATATTGGACACAAAACGAACGGGCTCGGTGCTTCTTTTTCAAGAATACACGCGAAAGTGGAACTCACTGAGCTTAATACATTTAAAAAGTTTTACCTCGAAAGAGACAATATAATTTATCGCCACTTGAAACCTCATAACTGTGTGTATTTCAATTATTTCAGAGCATACTTCGCTAAACCTAGCACCATAGTTAATAGAGGCTAGCACGCAAGGTTTTTGGGTTCTTGCTGTGAATTTTCGCTCTTGTTAATATCAAGCGGCAATAAACCTCACAATGTGCAGTTTTTTGGTGGTCTTTTCTAGTTTTGTTAAGTTGTAAATAGATTATGACGCCGCGCTCCTTGCAGAATGTTTACAAACAGGAAAAAGCGCAAAATAACACAACGGGAAACAGTGGGGGCCTATTATATTAGTACAAAAGCGCCATCAAAAACAAATTGATGCCAGTTTTAGAGCTGTATTTTCTTTAGAATATGAAGTATAATGTAAAAGAAAGTTAGGGACAAAATTTCAGAAGATTATAACGGAATTTTAGCGTTTTTGGAGATATTATACCATGGGGAGATTACAATCTCTCACCTTTCAAATAAATTGATGTTTCACACCAAAGGGGTTTACGTCATTCAACTTAAAAATTAAACTGCAAGAGATAGGTACTTAAAGAAATGTTTTGGTGTAACTTACCAACATATGAAGCAGCTCCAAAAACTCCACCAACACCAGTGCCTACCAGCAGTGAACACAAAGCGATTTCTTCCAGTTCTCTTGCAGTCTGTATAAGCAAGCTTATTTCTCCAATGCCGGTTCCCACAGAAATCAAACAAACCCCAGCCAAACGTCCGCTGAGGTGAGGAATGAAAACTGCACACAACTGTCCTACTACCACAAAGCCAGAGGCAACGAAGATCCTCGCTATTTGTGAAACGTGCTGGAAACAAAGCGACACAATCTTCAAAACACACGACGGAGCTGTCAGAGCTATAATCACGAGCCCTGTCGGTTTCTCCGTCCCAGCTAACACATCTTGCGCACCACAAACAAATGTGACGAAAGGGGCTGTAAGGGCAATTCCTAGTATAAAGTAAACCAGCGAACATTTTGGAGTCGTCTCTTCTCGCCGCCAAGACTTGAAATTCGTTTCGTCGGTATCTGAGGCAGAACTGCTAAAATATAAATCTTCTTCGGTGATTTCGGACATCATTTTCTAATCTGCTCTCGCGACAACTGCTCACCTTGCTTTTGTTTGTTGTACACCTTCGCCCACCTCAGCCAGAAATGGTGCAAACATACCCGCAGAAACTGATATAGGGAATTAAAGAAGATATCGAGCGCCTTTCCTTTAGTATTGAGCAAATATTTTGTGGATATTTGCATGACACGACGAAATGTCGAGTGTTTATGCCCAAGAGACTTTAAACTGTATTGGAGAGTGCTCGCCCGTAACATGCCAAACGTTTCGCATTGGTTGCCCGAGAAAAAATGAGAATAACAAAGAAACGTTGCCACATCAACGTCAGAAGAAGATAAGCTCGACTGCTCTTCCCAAAAGCAAGAAAAGTGGTTCCTTCCCGCTGGAGTCTCGTTTACTTTTATGATTTTTCGGCTTGGCGTCAAAACTGTTGTTCACGCCGAAAACGCCGCTCCTTTGGTAAAAACTACTACAATACATCGCATCTGTTACGTTACAATACAAAAGTATTTGCTAATTTTATTTTCATTTATTCCAAGAAAGATACAAGGAATTGTTCCTTTCTGGTTAAGAACAAACGCCTGAGAATTCGAAGAGGTCCCTGAAACTTTAAGAGAGGTAGATGTGAGACAACGTTATGAAAGCGGGGTCATTTATCATTTGCCTGAGATATTCTTAAACTGGGGAAACTACGGTGGAACGAGATACCAAAGTAGATACCTGAAGATACCTGAAATATATTTTAACTTTCAAACTTGAAGGAGTAATTCAAACGCCTTTGAACATTGTTAATTTTGTGAGAATTAGAATTCTATTTCAGAGGGTTAGACTTTTTCCAAT